CAGGCTGCCCAGCCCCACCGAGAGGGCCACGTAGGTCAGGCTGCTCTCCGCCCGCTGGGTCTGCTCCAGGTAGCTCTGGGTCCTGCCCGCCAGCACCTCCCGGGGCCTGGGCTTGCAGGCTGCAGACTTCGGCGTCCGGGGTCCTCTGGGCTCCTCTTCCTCTGTGAGGTTTTCCAGGGAATCCATGTTTCTCCTCAGAGGCGCACTGAGTCCTGAGGGAACCTGGGACAGGAGGAGCCGGCATTAAGGGACGCGGCGCGGGCGTGACGTGGCGCAGACACTGGCTTGGAGCGTGGAAGCGCTCGGTGCCACCTCTCGCACCGGGTCAGCGGGGCCGCGCAGGCGCGGCCCGGACCAGGGAGCTCACTGCGGCCAGCCCCGGCCACCGGCGCACACCTGTTCTGCGAAGCCGCGGACACCCACGACACCCACCGAGGGGCCAGGCCAGGGACCTCTGGGCCGGCCGGCGCTCCCTCAGCCTCCTGCGGGCACAGGACGTGTTCTGGACGTGCAGCTCTGGGTCCCCCACCGGAGGCCGAGATGCGGCTCACAGAGCTGCTGAGGGTCTCCCCGCGGCTCCCTCAGCGGTGGGTCTGCCTGTTGTCTCCCCACGCTGTCTCTGGGGAGTTGTCTCACTGCCCCCTCCACCCCTGTACCTCTGGCCTGTACCCCAGTTCTTCTCCACAAACAAATTTTTTTAAGAGTCATCAAGATTGAGGGAAGAAAAAAATACTATCTCTGTTCCTGCATAATACGATCTTAAGTATAGAAAATTAGAAGGGCTCTTTGGAGAGTGACACATCCATAACTAGGTTTAGTCAACTTACAGAACACACCATCAACAGGTAAAAAGCCATCGTGCTTACACGGACTTGCCATAAGGTCTGCCGCCTGCCTTCAGGAATCTGCTCACCTCCTGCACCCCTCCTTCCCGTGAGGTGGTCTTGCCCACACACACCCCCGAATCATCAGTGAGCCACTCGGTGCCGAAGCCGGCCAGTGGTGCCAATGTCCCGTGACGAAGCAGAGCCCGCGACGCGGCCCGGGGCGGGAGCGCCCCGCACCGAGCGTCTCCAACACCCGCTCAGGAGCGTGAGGGACGCGGACACAGGCCGCAGCTCTGGGGAAGGGCCCGAGGCCGGGGCCACCGCCCATCCACAGGTGACGTTTCCAGTGCCGAGGAGACTCCGTGGTGTCCCCAGGGATGAACGCACACCCCAGGGGCCCCGTCTGGCCCGAGGCCGCGCCACTCTGCCAGCCTGGCGGGCGGAAGCCGCCGCCCGAGACTGATGATGTCAGGGCTGGGCCAGGCCACAGGGAAGTGGGGGCCGCGCGTCTCGCCCAGGTCTCCTCAGGAAGGCTCTAGGTTGAGAAAAACCACAAAGAACAGAGCAGTAGTAACTAAAGGACTTTGAAAACTCAGTGGACAAAACTCCATGTTCATGGGATCAGCAGACTAAATATTCAGATGCCAACAATCTCCGGTTTCATCTACAGGATCAAATTCCCAGCCGACCTCTTTAAACACAGAAACGACAAGTTGTTGGTAACATTCACAGAGACCCCGGGAGGGCTGAAGCAACAGGAGGAAGAAGAGAAGTGTCCAGGACTCCACTTCCTAGCGTCAAGCTTACTGGAGTCACAGCCCAGAGCGGGGTGGTGCGAGCAGCGGGGTGCAGGTTCAGGCCAACAGACGGGAAGGCCAGTGCCCGGAAGCCCATCTTCACACGCAGTCCGTGACGTGCGACACGCTTGCAAGGGTCACTCACTGGTGGGCAGTGTTGGGAAAACTGGGCTGCCTCTGCGGAATAACGAAGGTGGACCCTTTCTTTCTTTAAGATTTATTTACTTATGCACACAGAGCTGGGGTACAGGCCAGAGGTGGAGTGGCGGTAACAGGACTCCCCAGAGACAGAGTGGGGAGCAGAACAGGAGGATCGACGAAGTCCACTGCTGAGGGGGCGTCGGGGAGGCGGAGGGGTCTGCCGCGCCTTGCGGGTCGCTCCCTGCCGGGGGATGGAACTCGCGCCCAGGCGGCTGCAGCCAGCTTCGTAGAGCTGCGCTCTGACTCGCTGCGCCACCAGGGAGGGCCCCAAAGGCGGGCCCGTTCTTCACACCACATGCAAAAACTAGCTCGGCATGGACGAGAGACTTAGATTTAGGAGAAGCGGCAAACTTAGGGGCAAATCCTCATGGCCTTAGATTTAGCAGTGGTTTCTGAAATATGACGTCAAAATAGGTCCCCTTGTGCATAAAAGGAAACTATCGAGGCAGGAGAAAAAAGCCACATGTTAGGGGGAAATATCTGCGTGGTCAAAATATGCAAGTCACTACAAAGGAACAATAAAGACCCAAGTGACCCAATTTAAAAACGGGCAAGGACTTGGCCACTTCTTGCAAGATAAGCAGCTGGCCGACAGGTGCGTTGAAGATGCTCAGCCAGCTAATCGTTAGGGATAGGAAAAGCAAAACCACCCAGACACCATCGCACACCACTGGTCGGGGGGGGCACTGGCACGTGCTGGGAGGACGTGCGGAAACGGGGCGCACTGTGCCCGGCGCAGCCGCGGGAGACTGTCGCAGCTCAGGCAGCTACGGGCAGCTCCCGCGTGGGCGGTCGCGTGGGGGGCGAGCACAGGGACTCAGGCTGACCAGCGCTCCAGTTTCACAGCAGCACTGCTCATGACGGCCCAGGGGGAGCAGCCCAAGCGTCCAGCAACGGGGGACCGGATGACCGGACGCTGGCATGTCCGTGGAGTACTCGCCCGTGCACGCTTTGAGTGAATTCCGAAAACATTATGTTAAATGCAGCAAAACGCTAAATGCCACAAAAGGACAATTCTCAGGAGACGGACACTAACAAGGCACATGCTTGACGTCAGCGGCTACTCACAAGCCTCGTCTGAGAAATAAAACACTGCAGTTTGTCGTTGGAGCTCGGCAGTGGGGGGGGGGGGGTGCCCGGCCGTGCCCCCAGGCAGCGTGCAGCGGGTGGGGCGGTCAGTCCGCGGTGCCCGCCTCCCTTGCCACCACCTGCCCTCCCGCTGCGGTGACCTGCGACCTGCTGGCCCCGGCTCTGGGGTGGGGCCCACGCAGGAGGGGAGCGCCGAGGCCGGCCTCGCTGCGGTTCAAGCTCTCACATGTGCGCTTCTCCCCCGCCCCGGCCCACCTCGGCTGCTCTGAAGTCAAACGAGCCTGAATGGAACTGGAGCCGCTGTGGTGACGCGTGGCCCCGAGGCCGCCAGGAAGGCGCAACAACAGCTGGTTTTCAGTAAATGGAGACAGGCCAGGGGTCAGCACAGAGTGTCATGACAGCATTAATAATTAGGGTGGGAAATTTACACTCGGATGGAAAATGAAACCTGACAGTTACCTCACATCGCACAAAGGTCACCCACGGACTGCGTACTCAAAGACAGGAAAACTCGTGGCGCTCTGTAAAGCTGATGCGGGAGAATATCTTCATGACCTGGACGTTAGCGAGATTTCTTTTTTTCTTTTTTTAAAGATTTATTGATTTATGCATAGAGAACTGGGGTGCAGGCCAGAGATGTGGGCGGTGAGAGGAGTCACCAGAGGCAGAGTGGGGAGCGGGAGAGGCGGAGCTACTGAAATCCACCGCTGAGGGGAACAAAGATGTAGAAAGCACTAACCACAGGGACACAGCAAGCGTGCTTGAGTTCACTGAAATTCAGGACATCTGCTCATCGGGAGACGCCCTTTGAAAGCCAAAAGCAAGACACAGAGTAGAAAGGAGACATGGCCGCGCCTCCGGCAGGGCTGAGGACTCCGAGAGGCTCCTCGGGACAAGCGAGGAGGTATCTGGTTAAATGCTTGCACTTGAGAGGCCTTTCACCAAAGGGGTTCTCCAGATGGCCAGCTCACGTGCAACAGTGCTGACCTCTGAACAGCAGGGAAGTGGTACTTGAGCCCTAACACAGAGGCTGAGGACATCGGACACAGGACACCGGCGGGAAGGGAGACAGGGCGCCACGGGTCTGGCAGTGCCGCTGGAACAGAAACTGCCAAAACTTACTCTGAGAGCGGAGCGACCAGTGTGCGTTAGGCCTGAAGATGCGCACAGGTGAACAATTTCACTGCTCGGTAGAAGCGCGACAGAAATGTGTGGACATGCAAACACACTAAGAACATGCTTGCTTGCAACAACCCTGTCACAGAAGCCCATTATCGTAGGACAACATGATATGCAGAACCAGAAGAGAGAAATATTACACAGCAAAGAAAATAAATACCGCAACCCTTAAAGGCGTGGGCAATCTCAAAAATGTCACACTGAGGCCCTCCCTGGCGGCCCTTTGGTGTGAGTCTGATCCCCAGAGGGAACCCCCAGGACACAGCAGACCCCTCCTGTCTCCCCGCTGCTCCCTCAGCAGTGTGTTGCAGTAGATCCGCCTGCTCTGCTCCCCGCTCTGTCTCTGGGGAGTCCTCTCACCTCCCCCCACACATACCTCTGGTCTCCACCCCAGCTCTTGTATGCAAAATAAATAAAATCTTTTTTAAAAAATACAGATTATAGGCCCTCCCTGGTGGCGCAGCGGGTTAAAGCACAGCACTGAGAAGCTACAGCCACTTCCGCATGAGTTGGATCCCCGCCTGCCCCGGAGGTGACCCCAGGACGCGGCAGACCTCTCCTGACCCGCCCGCTGCTCCCCTCAGCAGTGTACTTCGTCGATCTGCCTGTTCTGCTCCTCACTCTGTCTCTGGTGAAGCCTCTCACCCTCCGCATCTCTGGCCTGTACCCCAGTTCTGTACGAATAAATAAATTAAAAAAAAATAGATTATAAAAAATAAGTAAAATTAAATTAAAAAAGGTATCTGTACGCAATAACATCAGTCTCCCAAGACAGACGCTAGGGAAAAGCCAGGTAACAGCAGGTGCTCCGTCTCACCAGTCAACAAACGCACACGCACACCTGCACGGGTTCATGGCAATGCCCAGAGGCGCTGTCACTGCCGCTGACACCCCCCACCCCCTTTCACCCAGGCAGCTCCACCAACCAGTCGTGTCTCCCCTCAGACCTAACTTCCTCCGAGAGGCGACCCGGGCCACCCTGCCACTTCTCGGGTGCCCAGCAGGGCAGGAGCGGGCTCTCCAGGCCGCGCAGGGAACCAGTGTCCAGCGGCGCGGGAATGGGTGGCCCCGCCTGGCACGGCCCGCCCCGCCCCAGCCCCAGGACGGGGAAGCCACCTGCCTGCCCAGGCCTTCCAACGCTTCTGCTCAGGGGGCTGGCGGGGGCTGGCGGGGGCTGGCGGCGAGCCGGGCGTCTGCACCAGAGCAGCACCCAGCCGCCTCGCCCCGGCCGCGTCCTGAAAAGGGGTCTCGGAAGGGGCCTGCTCCGCGCTGGCTGGCAAACCCGAGCTTTGGTGTCAGTGGGGGCCTGCACCATCGTAAGAGACACCATGATTGCATGTTTGCTCCCTTTAGATTCTGGAAGAAGGTCGACCTTAGAAGCCAGATGGCGTCCGGGGCGTGTCTGAAACTTGTACGCGTAAGTAGGTCTTATAAACTGGCGGGATATTTTACATTACATCACGCTGCTTAACGTGTATAAACATACGTGAGCATAACGGAAAGAACACGAGCTGCATACACACTGGAGGCACATTTGTATAAAATATCACAAGCATTTTCTTTTAAAACATGTTTTTCGAAGGCCACTTAATAGCCCCGATCCACATATAAGCGAGGCTGCGCTCCTCTCCCCGGGCCCTCACAGGTCTGTAACTCGGCGCCTCCCCCAGCCGCTCCTAGGCCGCCGGTTACTACCTGCGGCTGCCGAAGCTCCGCCTTCACCCGCCTTCACCCGCCAGGGATTCTCGCCCAGGGCAGCCGACTGCCCTGCTGGTCTCTCGGAGGCCTCGCGCCTCCTGCCCGTCGGCGACTCTCCCTCTGCGCCAGGCTCTGGAGAACCGCGAGGAACCGCGGCCCCACGGCCAGCTGAGAAACTGACCGGCGAGGGCGTGGGGGCGGGGCGGGCTCGCGACCAGTGGGGAAGGGGGAGGGGGGTGCCCTGTACCACCCTTGCCAATCCCACCCCGGCTCAGAACATCCCGAGTTCCTGGGAAGACAGGTAAGTGGGAGAGCAGCTGGAGGTCGGGTCCTGAGGTGGAGGGGTGTGGCCTGGGGGGGGAGGGGGGAGGAGGAGGACGCCCCACCTTCGTTTACCCGCCGCTGAGTGCGCACGAGACCACCACGAGTCTGGAGCCGGCCACGGTGCCGCCCGCCAGGCTTCCTTCCCGGGAAGTAGGAGGTTTGGGGTGCAATGAGCACCCTCCCCCAGGGGACGTGGGCCCAGCCCTCTGCTTCCCCGGCTCTGAAACCGCCCACCTCGCGCCCACCTCGCGCCGCAGGCTGCAGCGTGGTCTCCTCTCCGGCTCGCGCCGCCCACGCACCTACAGTGGCTGGCAGAGCGGCGAGCACACGCACAGCCCAGGGAAGGGGCAGTCAGGGCAGGCACAGCCTTCCCCGGCGCTGCAGAGCACACGGCTGCAGTTTCTACAGCCAGGCCAGGGCGGCCCGAGGGTCATCTAGGAGACACAAGGTGCCCAAGTGGTGTCCTGGTGCCTGGCAGCTGGGACTCCCTGGGGAAAATCCGCCCCTGGGTCAAATGACAGTGCCTGTGGGTCAGGATGCCACCGGATGCTCCCCGCGAGGCCTGCGCTCCTGTGCTGCTGGCACAGGAAGGGCTGTCCAGAGCCGCAGGAAGTGAACATCGGTGGGTCTGACCGAAAACAAGCCCGAGTCGTGGGCAAAATAAAACCAGCCGGTGGGAGGCACCACACTGGACATCTCAAGCTCTGACAGGGCACGCAACGTCCTCAATGTGCCGCGATCCGGCCGCGTCAGGCGGCCCGGCAGGGGACTGGGCATGTGAGGCCCAAGCGCAGCCCTGGCCATTTAGGCACCAGGTGCGGTCTGAGGAATGTTCTAGCGGCTGGCTGCTGCTCCCTGCATTCCAGACTGCTGTCCTCTTTCCCTACCCTCACATTTGGGGGGGGGGGCGCGGAGACCACCGCTAGACAAGGATGTACTGTGACTTGTGCGCTCCCGCCTCCGGGTCCTTGGTCAGGATGAGCAGGCCAGGGGGGTCGGCAGTGACCCAGCTGAGGAAGCCAGCAGGTGCCTGACATGCCCTGACTCGACTCAAGTCTCCCTGACCCCTGTGGCCACCTCAACGCACCCAGCTGAGGGGGAGCATGTCAGAGGTCGGGGTGCAGTCAGACGGCCACAGCCACTAATCGTGGCACTGGGTGTCTTCAGTCTCCAGTCCACCTCCGCGCTCCCCTCGATCCTGGTCAAGTAAGTGTCCCCGCCCCAGCTCCTAGGCCACCTTAGTGACCGACGTCATGCCAAGTGTTACGCCCACCGCCCACCGGCAGACAGGTGATCGGTTACTCCCAGCACCGACGACTCGGGCGGGGTCACCGGTCGGAGACACCGGCACCACGAGGCCGCGGACAGCGAGCTCGCCGACTGGGAGCACAAACCGTCTCTCCTGCTCGGCCTCCCCACAGGAATCGCCAGGCGGGGCCCCAAGGCAAGGCAAAGCCGGGCCTGTCTTTCACGATAAATTCTGTTTCTCAAACGCTCAGCTCTAGGATGGATCCATCTGCCGACACCACGCTTGCCCTGGCCTCACAGACACCGGCCGCACGGGCCAGTTCCCAGAGGAGGGGCAAGGGGGTCCGCAGCTGCCCCCGCGGGGCACCCCACGGAACACCGGCTGGGCCGTGGGGGCTGCACCGCCCCCGCCTAGGAAAGCAAAAGGCCTCTGGGTGCGCGAGCTCCGCCGCCACTGCCTGCGCCGCCGCCGCCCACGCGCGACGGCCCAGGCGCTCCGCGGAGGAAACAGCGCCGCTCTGCCACGCGAACCAAGAGTTTATTTCTGAGACGAGTCACTCTCACGGCAGAAATCTGCCCGTTACTTATTCCTCTTGTTTCTCTTCTTGAGCCTTTTCCTGAAGCGATGGACCGAGCCATGTAGGTTCTTTGCTAACTCCAGTCGGAAGAGGTTCGTGTCCCGGCTGTGGCTCAGGGGGGCGGCCGTGCTGGTCCGGAGGAGCGCGTACAGGGAGTAGGCGGGGACCGGCAGGACCGTGAGGGCGATGAGGAGGGCGAGCAAGGATCTAGCCCACTGCGGGTAAGTCTGCTTCAGCTCGTTTGACTGTGGAGAAAGGGGCAGCGGTGTGGGAGGCCCAGGCTCCTGGGGGAGACCAGCTAAGGCAAGAGAGCAGGGGGCTGGAGTCCCGGGGGGGAGACTGAGTCGGGGGAGGGCTGGGCCGGTCCGCCCCACTCCCTGCGTGGCTGGGGCCTGGGACGCTCACAGCGCTTGAGTTCCAGCCGAAGTAGCTGATGGGGCTCCTGCACAGGTTGAGCAGCGTGACTATGAAGAGCACCAGCAGCACTGTGGGGGTCAGGCAGCACCACAGCCAGCGGTAGACGGGGGACACCGGGCGGTCCATCATGACGATCAGGTCTGCTAGGAACCTGGTGACAAGGCCCCGAGACCTTGAGGCCCCATTCAGCCCAGACCTGGTCCGGGCCGTCCCGACCATCTCTTCCGCCTCTGCTCCCCTCCGCAGCCAGTCCGCTTGCCTCAAATCATCCCTAACTATAGTTCCTTGACGTTTCCCCGGTGAACCTTCACCCAAGTCAGGCTCCTTCGATCTAGAATGTTCTCCCGTCTGTGAGACTCTGCTGGAGCACGCCCTCCTGTGCGATTCTCCTCGGACCCCAGCCTGCTCTTGCTGATGACCGCCTGTGCTCCCAGAGTGCCCTGGACGACCCCACACCCACGGGCCTGCCCACGTCTTCCTCCTTGGACTCTGAGGGCAGACATGACCTCAGCAACCCCGAATTTACCGCAGTGCCGGGCCGGCGCACAGAAGGCCCAAGAAAAAACTGAGTGAGGAGTGAGCGGCTGAAGGACAGAGCTGACGAGCCTGGAACGCTGCTGCCTCCTCGCCACTGCGGGGGGGTGGAGCTCCTGCACCCCCCAGGGCACTTTGCCAAATGCAAACACACAGAAGGCCTGGGCCCCACCAGGATCTGCGTTATGGTACTGTACTGACACTCCAGGAGCTGGCTCCTGGGCCAGAGGCCCACAGTGCCGACAGGGCGTGGGCTCAGGGCCTTGGGGACTTGCGAGACTCCCCGCCACATTTCCCTTCACAGCCACTGTCTCCAGAGACCAGCCGTCTTTGTAAGCCCTGGCACCCGCACTTGGGGAGAGACGAGGAAGGGCCCTCGCCTCCTGGGGTGTGCGCGTGGGTGTCCGGGAGGAGATCCGGAGCGCGACATCACCTCCGGGCCCCGTAGATCCAGGCTATGGCCACGTTCTCCAGGATGACGATGATGAGGAAGGGCAGAGAAGTCCAGTAATCGTCCAGCAGGTTCACATAGTAGCTGCCCGAGGGCCTCACGTAAGTAAGGCTGCCCAGGAACATGAGCGCACAGACGCCCACTGCAGGGCAACACCAGCATTGGGCCCAGGCCAGAGTTCGAGCACTGGGCTGAGCAAGAGCCCGCGGCCAGCGGCGGGAGTGGGGTCGTGGGTCTGGGTACCTGTGAGCAGCTTCGTGTGTCGCCTGAGGGAAGAGAACATGTCCTGGAGAGGGGTGAGGATGCCCTGCATGATCCCTGTCATGGCGCTCAGCCCCAGGTTTGAGAGCAACAAGAAGATGATGATGGCCCAGAAGGTGGCTCCAGAGAACACAGAGATGATCTCGGTAAAGGCCACAATGGCCACCCCGGGGCCCTCCATGACCTTGAGTGAAGGGAAGAGCGGGGAGCAGCCTGAGCGTCCCAGAGCCCCGAGCGCCCTGCCCGCCCCCCCCCAGGGGAACTGCAGGCTGTGGAGGTCTCCATCCCAGCAGGCCCTGGGGCGGGGACTTCCTCTTCCGGCCACGGCCAGGAGTCTCTGGGCCAGGGTGAAGGGCTCGTGGGCACTCTGGTGTGCGGTGCAGAGGCGGCCACAAGGCGCTCGGTCACATGAAGAGGCTGCAACTCTTGGCCTTGGCTGTCCAGCGAGCTGCTGAGAACGGCCTTTCGGAACACTACAGACACCTCACCAGGGCTGGCCTCTCTGTGTGCTGCGGCCTGCAGGGTCACGCTAGGGTCCCCGTGCCCAGCCCTTACCTACCTCTTCCAATTCCCTGGACGAGTTGCAGCTGGACAAATGGGGCAGGGCAGCTCTCCGGACTGCGTCGGGGAGGCTGTCGAACCACTTGGTGTAGATGGAGCCTGGGTGGTGGTACAGGCTGTCTGGGGGCTTGGCCTCAGCTGGCAGGACCCTGGTCTTGACCAGAGCCGCCAGTATCTCAGCATTCCTGGGACAGCGGTAGAAACTCTTTAACCAGTAGGCCCTTTAGGTAACTGCTTCCTTGTCTCCTAGGTAAGGGGCACCCATGGCCCTAGACTGGTGCAGGTCCAGCGCTGGTTTACGCTGCCGACGTCACATCCGTGACGGTATCTGTATGAGGCGCTACTGAAGTGGACCCCTGAACGGGGTCTTCCCTGCAGTATCCCCAAGGCCCTCCAGTTCTACACAAAAATAAATAAAATCTTAACTAACAGATTATGGTTATCTGTTTCTGTCTACCTCTCCTCAGTAGCTGCCTGGCCTGAGGGTGGGCCTGCCGGCTAGTGTCCAAACCTCAACAGAGGAGTGAGTGGGGAGAAACGTCTGGTAAGTGGCCAGCTGCACAGCTTTTGAACGAATGTCACAGGAAGGAGAGGAGTAGGTTATGGGGGTGCTGGTGCTATGGACTTTAAAACTTCTTTCCTTCTTTTATCTAATGGTCCAAACAAATACTCCCTAATTTTTCCATGGAAGTTTCCATTTAAAAATGGGGTACAAATGAAAGATTGGGCTCACTTCAGGTAACACTTTACGGTGTTCTTTGTGGCCAGGTGGCCCATTAGGGCAAATACAAACATGATGGTGATCACTGAGGCGGCCAAGTTCAGGACGGCCACAGCAAAGGCGTCGATGACGCAGTTGTTGGACCGAGGGATGTAAGAGCTGATGGCGGTGAAGCTGCCCAGGCCAGGGCCCAAGGACAGAAAGATCTCGTTCCCTGTCCGGCGCCACACATCCACAGAGTACAGGGCTGACACCTGACGAGGAGAAGCACCCTGCCAATTCGGCTCTGAGGGGGAGGAGCCTGGCGAGGCGGAAGACTACAAGGGCGTGAAGGGGGCCGGAGGGCGCCGTCACTCTGACTACTGCCCAGCTCCCTGTCTGGGAGAGCAGGATTAAAGGACGGCGGAGACCTCACCTGCATGGCCAACAGACTCTTGAGACCGAACTGTGCACCTTCTAGTAGCAGGCTCCGGACAAGGAGAAAGAAAAGGATGAGGTAGGGGAGGAGCACTGCGACATACAGCATCTGAGTAGGAAGCATAAGGCAGACACAGAGTCCACTTCGAAGGCAGAACGGAGCCCCGAGGCTCACGGGTCCGACCGGAAGGAGTGCGCAGGTGGCCGTGGGCCTCTAAGCTGGCAGCGCCCGGGGCCTCGGAGGCAGTCTGCCAGCTCGGAGAGGTGGCGGTGGCTCACCTTCCCGGTGGACTTGGGTCCTTGCATCATGGAGATGCAGATAATTGACCAGGTCACCAAGAGGGACATACTGAGGTGGCTGACCGGGAGCCCCCCGATCTCGATCTCCTCTGTGGCCTTCAGGACTCGCCGGTACCAGAAGTACGTGGCGGGTGATGTCCGCGCGCATTCAGGATCTGCGGGGGAACCGGCGTGGCGGGGCTGCCCGCAGGTGCCTCCGCCCACACCGCCCTCCTCGGTCCTGCGCTCCCCGCGGGCCGCCCTCTTGCTGCCTCTGTCCTTCCCTCGCAACCCCCCTTCCTCTCTGTCCTCACCGATCTCGCTGGAGTTCCCCAGCGTGGGGCACAGTGTCCAAGGCAGGGGAGACTGGAAAGACTGAACCAGGTAGTAGAGACTCCAGGCCGTGAGCACGCTGTAGTAGGAGCCCATGACCAAGCAGACCTGGGGGCCACGGGAAACTCTGGAGGCAGCGGAAGGAAGCTGGGCCAGCAGAAGGGCGGGAGCGTGGCCTGCTGGCCGGGGGCCTGGAGGGACCTGACCCCGTGGAGTCGGAGGGCCCGTTCCAGGACAAAGGCCAGGGCAGTGTGCCGGGGCTTCTCACCAGAACGCTGCTGTACCCCACACCACCGATCCAGGGGCTGACGGCCTTCCACACCCCGATGCTGCCCTGACGCAGCCTCTGGCCCGCTGCCATCTCCAAGAAAAGGAGAGGAAACCCGACCAAGAACAGCATGAGGACGTAGATGATGAGAAAACTGCCTGTGTGGGGGTTCGGGAGGGAGGGCTCTGAGAACCATGTGCTGTCCAGAGCCTGGACTTCCTTGGGGCCCAGGGAAACAGGCTCCCACCTGTTTCCAGTGACTTCCCACAAGGCCACAGAGTTCAGGGCTCAACTGCTCCCACATCCCCGAGCTGTCTTGCGTCCTATCCCCCAATCCTGGAAGACCTGGAACCTTCTGCCCCCTGCAATCCTGACCCGGGCGCCCACCCCGCCTTTCTATGAACCTAAGCATCCAGACGTCTGACTCTGCCTCTCCCAAGGGCCCGGGTGTTCAGGTTCCTGCCCTGGTCAGCTCCTGCACATCTGTAACCTTCGGCCCAGAAGAGCCAGGGCAGACCTCTGGCTCCTCCTGCCAGGGCCCCGCCGTCGCCCGGGCTTACCGTTTCCATTGTGAAAACACAGATAAGGAAAGCGCCAGATGGTGCTGAGCCCCACAGAGAAGGCCACCTGGGCCAGAAAGTACTCCATCTTGTTGGCCCAGGACGGTCGTTCAGTGGAGGCGTCATCCTTCGACATGTTTATGGTGTCCAGCCCTTCGCTATCTTCCTCGGCCCAAAGGGACGAGGACAGGTCATCGTAATGCCGCCCCGCCCCCGCCACTTGCTCAGCAGACACTGTCTGGGACTTTAAGGCCGGGGCCACTGAGGTGGCCACCGCTGGAGACTCACAGTCTGAAGGTTTCTCAGACTCTAAGACCTGGGGAGTTGGGGGAGGAGGAGACGTGGAATCTGGGCACTTGGTCTCCTGGTGCTTCTCATCCTGGGCCCGCATGCTTTTACCGGCAGCCTTCATCCCGGGCAGGCGCCAGCTCCCACTGTTGCGGGGATGGGGCCTCCTTCCTCGTGGACCTTAAGGACACCAAGCACTGCAGACTTCAGGTGCAGAATTAAGGAAAGATAAAACTAACCCTAGAGAACCCCCGGGCCCCTGAGCCTCCTGCCTTATGTGAGTAGAGCAGACTCTCCACCCCGGGAAAGACTCCAAGAATATGCCTGCTCTCAGAAAGCAGTACTGAAACACTACTGCATACAGTAACAGCGACGGCAAATGCCTGGGAGTAGCAGCCTACAAAGACCAGCCAGACCTTTACTCCACACACGCGTGGGCGTGGAGCTATAAAACAATAGGGAGCGAGCATAAAGAATCCCTAAGGGGACAGAACATGTCAATGAGTTAGAGGGCTTAAAAGCACAGTGTAGCAAGTCTCCCCAATTTGATCTACAAATTCAATGCAATTCCTATCAGAATCACAGCTGAGGCCCTCGCTGGTGGCGCAAGGGGTTTAAGCGCAGCACTGCACGCTGGCCGCTGGCCGTAGCTGCTGCGGCTCGAGTTGGATCCCCGACCCCGGAGTGACCACATGGCGCGGCAGACCTCTCCTGACCCCCCCGCTGCTCCCCTCAGCAATGTATTGTCAATCTGCCAGTTCTGCTCCCCACTCTGTCTCTGGTGAAGCCTCTTACCACCCCTGCACCTCTGGCCTGTACCCCAGTTCTGTGTGCATAAGTAAATTAATCTTTAAAAAATAATAAAATGTACATGAAAAGCAAAAAGGCCTAGAGCGAGTGACCCAGTCCTGACGGTGAGGAGCAGAGCGCAGTCAGCAGTCTGCTCAGGCGCCGGGGCCGCCCCACGCCACTGCAGGCGTGGTCGCCCTTTGCCACACGTGGCTGCTTTCATGAAAATATTAACAATTTAGCTCCCCAGCCAACCAAGGGCCCAGTAGCCGCTGGACTCACAGGAGTGAGGGGCAGAGACCTCCTGCCCATTCCCCCGGGAGCCTGCCGCCCCAGCCGGCTTGCAGACCTCTTCGCAACGTGCGGCCGCAACTCGCAGCCAAGATGGCATGCAGCGCCGGAGGGCATTCTTCTCAGGAGATCGCTAGCTGTTGGGGCACCTGGCTGTCTTAAATAGAAATAAGTGGATCATGGCCTCCCCAAGTCACAAAATAAGTAAAAACCTATTCAGAGCAGCCTGTAATCCTGAAGGTAAGAGGCACAGGAGCACACCCCTGGTGGTGAGCCTAGGGGTGCCTGCCTGACTTGGGGGTAGGCACAGATTTCTTAGCTACAACAGAGAATGCACCATCACAAAGGAGAATGTGGACTTACTGGCTAAACGAAAAGTAGAAACATCTGCCAGTCAAAAGTTACCACTAATCAACAAACCACAGAGTAAATGGGTGTTTTTTTTTTCCCTTAATTTCTTCTTTGGCTAGATGGTTATTAATATACAGAAGTGCAACTGAATTTGTATGTTGATTTTGTATCCTGTAATTTTGCTGGATGCACGCTAGCAGTTGGCATTTTTAAAGGAATCCTCCCTGCATGTAAGAACATGTCTGCACAGACAAGCAGTGGAACAACATCTTTAAAGTGTTAATAGAAAAAAGTGCCATCGCTGAGTTTATCCAGCAAAAATATCCTTCAGGAGTGAGCTGGTCTAGAAATACTCTCAGAAGAAGAAAAACTTAACCCCTTGCATCACCAGGGAGGCCCCAGAGTCAAAGATTCTTAAGGGACAGCACAGCTTGTGATATATGATTTATGTTTGGATGACAATTAAAACAGTTTTTTTTTTTTAATTATGATGGGGGCCTCCCCAGCGGTGCAGGGATTAGACCACAGCAGTATGAAGCTATCCAACGCTGGGCCAGGGAGTGACCCCCAGGGTGCAGCAGACTCTTGTCTCCCCACTGCTCCCTCAGCAGTGGATTTCGGTAGATCGGCCTGTTCTGCTCCTTACTGTCTCTGATGAGTCCGCTCACCCCCCACACCTCCGGCCTGCACCCCAGCTCTTGTGGCATAACTAAATAAAAATAAATCTTAAAAAAAAAGCAGACTGACCATTGACTATCAAGGCTGGGATTGGGCATGGGGCTTTGTGCAATGGCAAAGGAGTGCAGGGCTTCTTTTGCGGTAATTAAAGTGTGCTGAGACTGACAGTGGTGGGGGGCACTTTAGTGCTGAAAGTCACTGGCCTGTATGCTCTCAAATGGTGAATTGTATAGTGTACGAATGACATTTCAATAAAGCTATTAACAGAGAAAACTCTCAGAAAAAAAAACTGAGATGACCAAAGAAACTTAAATATTGCCAGCCATCCAGGGCTATTCAAGGATTACGGCTGTGCGGTTGAGGTGTGGTGATAGTTGCATAGATCCTGAGATCTATGTATGGCCACCTTTACTGGTAAATCTGACAGATGACTCAAATAATGGGCTCAGGCAGCGCAGGGGGGGATGGGACCCGCAGGGGGCCAATCCTTCATTACTGAAGACCCGTGGGGATTGCAACGCAATGCACTGTGCCGTTCTTTCTGATGTCTGAACTTGTCCAAAACAAAAGGGCCTGAAGCCACGAGACAAGCTCTACACACCACCTCAGTCTCTGGGCTCCCGGTGAGACATGGAGGCTGGCAGTGGGACATCTTGCGGGAGGAGGAGCAAGGCGGTCGGGCACCTTGCGTCCGCCTGGCTCCGCTGCCAACAGTCGTCCAAAAGCAAATCTGCCCACCACCGGGGCGCTGCGGAAACCCGACTTTAGGCATCAAGGACCCCAGTCTTTACCGCAGAGGAGGAGCTAGCGGGGCTCCAGTCTCCTACTCCCACCTGTCACCAGAAACCCCTAGGGCAGTATGAGGTCTTCCCAAATCAAAACACCTTGCCATTCGGTGCCAAAGGGCATTCAGCGAGGAGCCAGGGGACACACTTAAACAGCGGGAGACACACCAACTTCTACATTCCACTCCCATCGTTTATCCGGTTAGACCCTACTTTTCAAGCCGCTCCCACAGGTTCCAAACCCAAAGCTGGAGCCACAGGCACGGGTGGGGAAGAGAAAGGGGCACCCAGTTCCCAAATGGAGGTCCAAAACCCAGATGGCCAGGCCTTAAGGCAACCGCCCCCCTGGCCCCCACCCCAGCTCACCGACTCAACTGCACGGGGCTCCAGCAGCAGGTCGTTTGG